AATTGAGAGTTTCATTTTTTCTGGTGTTAAAATCATTTTAAAAAAATGTTAATGGAAAAAAAGTGTGGTTCTTTTATCGATATTTATGCCCAGCATACAAAGCAAATACTTATGTTACTTCTACTATGAAAACAATCTAACTCTAAAAGGTAACTAGATTAAGTGTTAATTTTGTATGCATGAATTTACCTTCAAGAAGTTAAAAAATAAAACTACACTATTCTTATGATATTTGGAATCATATCAGGATAAGCAAAATATCTGTTATGTAACTATCGGAAGTCGTCGTGGAAATTCCATAGGATCTCAAGATAGAAAGTTGCTTAAAATATCCTTGAGACGGTACGGAAAGCATGGAAATTTTTGAACTGACGATGGAATAGGACAAAAGTTTCACCTCATGAGATTCCTGTAAAAAATCCTGAGCTTTTTTCGACTGAAGCCCGAGAGAAGTGTGTCTGTCGCAGAAAATGTATTCAATGCTAAATTAAATTATCAGTGCGCACATTTCGACGTTTTGGTGCGAATAATAGCTGTTGTTCAAAAATCTAGACTATTTGGTGATACTCAAGAATCGAAGCAAGAAGTAGAAAAATTTCTAATCAATTTTCAATCTATACGTGATAGTGAAACAAATACAAAAACAATTACGAACCTGGGATGGATGACTATGAAAACGAAGAGAAGGTTTTCCAGTAGTATTTTATACTTTTTGTCCTAGATTACTGCACACGTAAATTTTTATTTAACATAGAACTTGTATATCAAAATATCTTGTATGCCAAAATTTCGCGGCGTAAACTTTTGAATAATTGCTCTTATACGTCTTAATAAGCACTATCGAGTGAAACGATTTCTTTTTCAAGCTTCTCGGTCCGATTGACTGAAAGAAGGAACTTTTTAAGTTTAGAATATTAGGTTTCACTTAAAATACTGTCGAATTTAAATGTTTTGAACCTGTAATAATTTCAACGACACGATTAGATAGAGCTCATTTCAGAATATATATAGTAATGAAGTCATAATTCTCTCTCGTGAGGAAAATTAAAATAGAAAATTATCTTTTTAGTTTTATATGCTATTTAAAATTTTCTACTTTTTTCCCAGCGATGCTTACTCTCTAATTTACAACTCTTAAACGAAACGTTTGTTTAGATAGGACCTGCAGTCTATTCCTATCTAGACTAGATCTACAAACTCGTCGTATCGGTGTAATAACTCGTAAGGAGTGTGCTCTTTAGTCTTTTACAATAAATGATCAATATTCAAGAATAGATAGAAAAAATGAAAATATCCACACACAGTCGTTGTTGTACAGGACAGTAACTTTTCCTCAACAAATTTTTGTATTATCCATTTCTTTTTACTTTTGATAGGTAGTAAACCTACCAAAATTACTTGACCAGTTATGAACTTGGCTGAAGAAACATAGGAGATCATAGACGACATAGCGAATAATAAGCAAATGTTTTGACTGACAACAAAAATTATGAATGTATATCCGTTTATATAGAAATTACTTCTTACATCGACATTTATAAACTTACATGAAATTATCATTATTACACATTACATAAATAAAATGAAGTAAATAGAAGACAAATGAAAGATAATAGACTTTTAGAACTTAATTGACATCCAAACGAACTAAACCAGGTTACAGTAGATATTTGCTTTCTTGTGGTATAGTTGATCCAATTTTCAGTAGTAATCGTCAACACTGTTGCATTCGTGATAGTAGTTTCTTGAATTAATGTTGAGGGTGTGCTAATACTCGGTATTGGAATGTTTCTATATGGTATGATTAATTCTGATGCTTGTGAACGTATAATTTGTTGAATGAGACTATATATGATTGCATTATTACAAAGGTTTCTGTTGCATGTATAAGTCATTGTATCATAATTGTTTGTATGTGGATAGTACAACTATAAAAATACTAAGATAAATTATAAAAAAGAAAATCATTCATTTACTTACACTTGTTAATTTTTCTGATGTAATGCGTACTCCAACGGATGATTTTATTCCATTTTTTTTCTTAGAACATGAACTCATTGTTGGTTCTTTTGATAATGTACCCGATGCTTGGCAAAAATCCTTTAAACATGAAACCCTATCATCAAGTATACCATCATAACATGATAAATCCATTGTACTATTACTGTCATTAAATTCGTCAAAGAGAATATTTGATAACGTTCGCCATAAATTTGTTGAATATCCATTGAACTTCTTAATATTGTCGAAAAGTGCATTTTCGATTGACATCAATGAACAGTCGTCATCAAAACATCGATGCTCAATGGAACGATGTATTTTCATTTCGTCTAACCAAATTGATGTTGTCATACGCCATATCGACTCACTGTCTGTCAATAATAGTTGGTCATATGTTTCTGGTACAAATTTAATTTCGATCTGTTCATTGGATGAAAAAACACTAATAAGTATTAAACAACTTTTAGCTGGAATATTGTGCCCACATCCACTTAGAATTAGATTCGTATCATTCAATGAAAATATTTGAGTGCAATTTCGACACAGAGTAACTGCGCTGACTTGAGCAGTACAAAATATAAATGTAAAAATCAAGAATATGTTCTGCATATTATTATTTCACTCTGTATAGTCACAATCATATAATTATAATATCCGCAAATACTTAAAATATGTTTATAAATTGTGTAAAACTAAGCTCAACGTTTTCGTTTTCTATTATATTTATTTTATCTTACTTGTTATATGTACGTAATCCTTTTTATATATTTATTTAAACTAGGATTAGATATTTTCATCTAATACACTAATATTGTTATAGGATCGAATTTTCTTAAAATAATAATGTTTATTATGAAAGTCAATTTGAAGTTATTAATATTGTTAAATACAACGACATCAAAAATAAATGTGTCACCGTCGGTACACCTCCTCTTTTTAGAAAAAAATTATCATTTTTGAGATAAACGCAAGGGAGAAACAGCAGATGTTGTGACTTTTGTAATCTGGGCTCCGTTCCACAGGCAGTCAATTTTTTTCAAATTTTGTTGTACTCCTGGAGACTCCTTGGTATAACATAACACGCGCGAATAAAGCCAAATTTCTAGTGTAGAGGTTAGGGCTGTGACAGTTACCAGTTACCGTTACCATCGTTCCCCGTTACTAACGGTAACTATAATTGACATAAAACTAATAAGCATCGTTCCTCCTTAGTAGAGGTAATGGTAATT